AACATAATTAAAGCTATATACAACAAACCCACAGCCAACATCATTCTAAATGGAGAAAAACTGGAAGCATTCCCATTAAAAGCAGGAACCAGACAAAGATGTCCACTATCTCCTCCTTTTCAACATAGTGACCTAGTGGTCCCCTTCATGTCCCTCACTCGTCCCCTCCCTGTGGAACATTCCACTTTCCTCATCTCCTCCCTAGTAGCATCTCTTCCCTACAAGTAGAGATCCAATTTTGTCAGAACAATTTGATGAAAACACTGTCTTTCCTCCATTGTGCATTCTGGACACCTTTGTCACTTTCAGGTGACTGAAATTGCTTGCATTCATGGTTGGGTCTTCTCTTCTGTTCCATTGATCTGGGTCTCTGTTTTGGGACTAGTACTTTGCTGTTTGCGTGACTATAACTCTTTATATAATCTGAGATCTGGTATGGTAATCCCCCAGCATTTCTCCTTTTGCCTGAAATTGTTTTGGAAATCCAGGGTCTTTTATGCTTCCATATGAATTTTAGGATGGCTTTTTCTAGCTCTGTGATGAATGTCATAGGTATTTTTATTTCCATTGAGTTGAATCCACAGACTACTTTTGTTAAGATGGTCATTTTCTACCATCCTACCAAATGCAATATATAGATTTAATGCAATCCCAATCAAAATCCCTGTGACATACTTCACAGAATTAGACAAATGCATCCTTAAATTTATATGGAGGCACAAAAGAGCTCAGATAGCCAAAGGAACCCTGAGCACAATGAGCAACGCTAGGGGGAGTACTACACCAGATCTCAAAGTATACTACAGAGCCATAGTCATAAAAACAGCATGGTACTGGCACAAAAACAGACACAAAGATCAATGGAACATCACTGAAGATCCAAATCTGAGTACACGCAATTTCAGTCACCTGATATTTGACAATAGTGCCAAGAACACACAGTGGAGGAAAGACAGCATCTTCAACAAATGGTACTGGCAAAACTGGATCTCCACCTGTAGAAGAATGAAGCTAGATCCTTACCTTTCGCCTTGTACAAAAGTCAACTCCAAGTGGCTCAAAGACCTCAATGTGAAACTGGAAACCCTGAAACTATTAGAAGAAAATATTGGCAGTAACTTACAGGATATGGGTGTAGGAAAGGATTTTCTAAATCAGACAAAAGTTGCACAGGAGTTAAGGTCAGCAACCAATAAGTGGGACCTCATTAAACTAAGAAGCTTCTGTACAGCAAAAGAAACAATCAAAAAAGTGAAGAGAAAACCCACAGAATGGGAAAAAAATCTTCACCAGTGA